TTTTTCTTTTTTTTTTTTTTTTTAATTTAAACATCTATCCACCTTCTATGGTCTATGTTTTAGATGATTTAAATAAGTAGATATTTTAAAATTCTTTATATTTTTTTGTATTGGAAAAAATTAAGTTCATATATGGACTTAATTGTAAGATGACACGTCATGACACGTGGACCGGTCAAATGATGATAGCTGGCAAAGAATAATCAAAGAGGCACGAGCTTCAACAGGCACGGGCAAATATTCAGAGAAAACAAGAAAGATAAATGCTCGAACTTCTTTACGATCGAAGAGAATGAATCTGATAGCAAAAAAAGGTATAGATACGTATTGTTAGGCATTAAATACGGAAAACGTTAGAGATTCAATATTGAATCAAATATGATTACCAATTGTAACGTTACATTAAATGCCATTAATTGTCAATAATGGCTCAATTATGACAGAAACAAAACGTATTACCTAGAAGTAGCTATAAAAGGAGAAGACTGCTCATTTGTAAGGATACAAAATACTATTGAAATACATTGATTTACTTTGCATTATATTCAGTTATTATTTGTTAATTATTCTTATTTCTATTCGATTATTAGTAACCCGATTTCTTCTAAAATAAGCTTTGACTGAAATCCTAATTTTTGATTAAACAAATTGGTTCCGTTACCGGAAATTTGATAACCATTTACTTTCTTAGTCAAATCCTTCATCAAAAAACTGATCATGTCGAATGTCAATGACAATAACCAACACAATTTACTACCCCAAGATCCTCAACATCAGGAGAATGATGCAAATGACAGGACCATACTCCCCTCACCGCGTGATTCACAACGACAATCACGAGAGGGAACTCCAAATGGCTCTGAAACAAATAACGGGGTTGCAAACCAAAACGGATTTGAGGCGAATCAAAATGCTGGAGTTGCGAACAAACAAGCACTCGATGATGCTCTGAAGAATCTAATTGCTCAGCAAGTCAGTAATGCTATCCGGGATTTTACCAGCCAGTTACCAGTTGCGCCATCAACACCAACTCCGAATCATAATACTTTGGAAAACCCACGTTCTGGGCTCGTTAATTCAGGCACTGGTGGAACTCCTAGTGAGTCTCGTGATGGCGAACCAGGTAACATAGTTAATTCTGATTTACAAAATTTAGTTCTAACCTTGCAGAAGCAGCTCAAAGAGCAAAGCGATCACATAGAGCAAATACCTGGAGTACCACCTGTGATCAAAGGAATAGACATGGATAAATACTCACAACAACCATAGAAGCCTAGTGTTGTTCCTGTGCCAATCCCGAAGAAGTTCAAGATGCCTAATATCTCAAAGTATGATGGCATAAGTACTGATCCACGAGACCGCGTGACTGCATTCAGAACCGGTGTGAAAGGCAACGATTTAACCAAACAAGAAATTGAATCAATATTGGTTAAGAAATTTAGTGAAACACTCACCAAATGAGCATTAACATGGTATTCTCTCTTACCCGAAAATTCTATAAATTCTTTTGTTGAGCTTGCAGATTCGTTTATCAAAGCGCATTCGGGAGCTCAAAAAGTTGAAAAAAGAATGGAAGATATTTTCAAAATCAAGCAAGGAGATTCAGAGCTGCTTAGAGAGTTTGTGGATAGGTTCCAGCGTGAAAGAATGATGTTACCACGCGTACCTGATAACTGGGTAGCTATGGCTTTTGCTAGTAATTTGAATGAAAAAAGCTCAGAAGCCACGAGATGACTCAAGGAAAGTCTGTGTGAATTTCCAGCAACAACTTGGAATGATGTTTACAATAGATACAACACGAAGCTAATGATAGAAGAAGACACTATCTCCCGATCTCAGAAAGAGGAGAAGGTGAGTTCGAGACATGCAGAAACCGAAAAAAGGTCCGGTAAAAATAGATACGAACCATACATTAGCCCAGTAGAAAAAGACTCACGATCAAAGAAGGACAATTCAAGGTATGATCATAGATCAAGGAATAGAGAGTCGGGTTCATCATCGAGGTTTGAAAACGATTGAAACACACGAGAGACGCGAGATGATGATAGGAACTTGAAGGCAAGATTTGGCGGTTACAATTTTAATGTCAGCACTTCAGAGTTAGTAGCCATATTAAGAAGCATGGGTGATAAGGTACGGTGGCCAAAAGAAATGAGATCAAATCCAAACAGACGTAATCCTGATCACTGGTGCGAATTCCACAACGATCATGGTCATAAAATAACAGATTGTAGATTGCTACAAGGAGAAGTTGACCACCTATTAAAGCAAGGGTATCTCACCAAATTATTTAGTGAAAAAGGTAAGCAAGCTTACATGAAAAACAGGCAGGAGCCCCCTAAACCTCCTTCTCCCAAAAGAACTGTTAATATTATAAGCGGGGGCAAAGAAATCAATGGCGTGACATATACAGCGGCCAATAAAGTTTCCAAAGTTACAATTACCCACGGGAAGCGGGTCCGACATGATTTGGAGGAAGAAAGTATTACATTTGATGATGCAGATGCGGATGGCGTGCTAACTCCACACAACAATGCGCTGGTAATACCTCTACTTGTACATGATACTAATGTGAAACAAGTTTTGATTGATCTAGGTAGTTCCGTGAATATTATTTTACTAAGAGTACTAAACGAGATGCAAGCTGAAAATAAGCTAGTACCTAAGGCACACACTTTGTCTGGATTCGACAATTCAAGCGTTGTGACAAAAGGGGAGGTAACACTTACAACATTCGCAGAAGGGGTTGTCAAAGATACGAAATTTTAGGTGGTAGAGATGGAAATGGCTTACAATATGATTCTCGGGAGGCCGTGGATCCACAAGATAGATGTTGTTCCGTCTACCTTACATCAAGTTATTAAATTTTCATCACCATGGGGAATATGTCAAATCCATGGGGATCAACAGACATCTAGGAGCATCAACTCTGTAGCAGATTCAAGTACGAAAAATGAAGAAAAGTAGCAATTACAGAATCCAGTTGAGGATACCACGACACAAAGCCTCAACTGAACAAGGGCGAACAGATATGGACTAAAGGCCCGATTCCATTCAAGAACCAGAAGAAAATAAAAATATCAAAACAACGATTGAAGAACTAGAGGCTATAGAGTTATTTGCACAATGGCCCGAAAGGAAAGTCTACATTGGGGCCAACTTAAGCCACGACATGAAAGGTAAGTTAATTGAATTTTTAAAAACTAACGTGGATTGTGTTTGCCTGGTCCCATTTTGATATGACAGGAATACCCCCGAAAGTAATGACTCACAAGTTAAATGAAGACCCATCGTATCCACCTATCAAACCAAAAAAGAGAAAGCAGGGGACTTTCAAAAATCAGATGATTCAAGATGAGGTTAAAAAACTATTAAAAATTGGGTCTATCCGCGAGGTAAAGTATCCTAATTGGTTAGCCAATACTGTAGTAGTACCGAAAAATAATGGCAAATGGCAAGTTTGTGTAGATTACACCGACCTTAACAAAGCTTGTCCTAAAGATTCTTTTCCATTACCACATATAGATCAACTGATTGATGCTACTGTGGGACATGAATTGTTAAGATTTTTAGATATGTATTCAGGATATAATCAGATCAAAATGGATCCCCTAGATGAAGAAAAAACTTCATTTATAACAGACAGGGGGACTTATTGTTATAAAGTAATGCCCTTTGGTCTCAAAAACGTTGGTGCCACGTATCAAATATTGGTGACCAAAATGTTCCAAGAACATTTAGGAAAAACTATGGAAGTCTACATAGATGATATGCTTGTTAAATCTAAACAATTATGGGATCATATATGGCACTTGTCTGATACATTTCAGATCTTACTAAAATTTAATATGAA